ATCGAGACGTTGATGTGAGGATGAAGAAATGAAGGGAAATTGCAACTCTGCGAACCCTACCACGGCAACGAATAACGATGGAGGAAGAAGACCACCAATGAAGAACCACAACGTTGCAAAAGAAACGACAGCGTTTTCTACTCAAGTGCACCTTTACTAGATTAAATAATAATAATAATAATAATAATAATAATAATCACAATATTAAACACATAACAAATACAGAAAATAACCTCTAAATCACAATATTAAACAAACTTAAATTGAAAAATCATAATCATAATAAGTCATAAGATTCATATTCAATACATAACAAAACACACAACTCAACATAAGTAATTAAGTCACAACACATAAGTTAATAATACATTCACAAAACATAAGTAGAGCCAATTGTTCGCAGTTTGAACTTCATAGAGTCAAAGTTCTCCACTCCGCAATTCGCCTAGGAGTGCAGAACCATCTGTTTGCAGTTTGCACTTCGTAAAGCAAAAGATGCAGCACATGGTGGAGATGGGGTGGTTGCAGTTGGCATTGGCGGAGAGAACTTAGGGTTGTAGATGAAGAGACAAACAGAGAAGGTATGAAGGAGAAAAGGGAATTTAGGGTTTTTCAAAACCTGGTCAAAAAGGGATCTGACCCGAAAATTCAGGACTGCAGGCCTTACCAGGGATCAACAACCCCACGATAAAAATCGTTATTCTACTATGATCCCACTCACAGGAAATCCCACAACTAACTCAACATGGAAAAGGCAGCTCAACTCTTGCGATCTGACTATCCTAACAACAATGTCTAAAAGAATAGAAGTACCCAAGTTATAACAGGAAAAAGAAAAATAGAAGAAAAAGATAAATCAAGACTAAAGAATAAGACACAAGTTGTAGGCAGGAAAATGGACTACCTTTTAATGAAAAGTGTAAAGTAATATACTGGGAAAAATTAAGCATGAACAAGGTACATTAAAGCAATTTTTGTCAAGTTAAGGGCCAATCAAGCTTGAAGCCAAAAGGAAAAAAGAAGTGTAGCTGTGTCAATATAATTAACATGTTAAAGATGAAGCAGAAGCTAATGCCTTAGCAACTTACATAAACTAAATTAGCAAGAGTAGAGTAAGTACCATTCAACAACAAAAAAAAAACCAAGTGACAGAACAAAGAGTGGAGCATATTCAATCCACAGTTATCACAACACTCATATAGCAAGCAAGAACAAAGAACCCATTTTAATTTACAATCTAACCTATATTACATAAGCTAAGGAATCAATTGTTACAAGTTCCGTGTCTCCTAAATTTTGATAAACTGCCAAAATTTGGCGGTTCAGTTAGCTTCCAAGGGAAGATGACAAATCCCCATCCTCAAACCTCACAAATTGTTACAAGTCATAACAGTGCAATTAAATAGCCATTATAGTTCCATAATTTCTATAGCATTGCAAATTCTTAGGACTGCAATTATGACTCCGGCTATTGCAACAGGTGTCTTGCTGCATCTTTCTGTCATTTCTGGCATCGTCAATTGAACTTGTGAGCTAATATTATGCCAATCTTTATACGTTCATGTTTATGTGGATACAACTTAAATTTCTATATATGACCTTACCATTATAGCCTAAACCTATTTGTCACGTAGTAGGTGAACTTAAGATTATCTCTATCCATATGCAGTGAAAGAAAAGTAATAAAAAGCTAATAGTAAATGGATTGTACACCCTAGACATAAACTTATAACATAAACTAAACAAAATATGGTTTCTTTCTTTCTCAAATTTCATCATCAGGCTCTAGCAATTCACGAGACCTTCAGTTATCCAACCTAAGAGGGATAGCAGAGCACAAAATGTCACACAAACACAATCCACCATGGCATGAATTTTTCATCCTAATCCAACGCTAACAACTTGTGTGCAAAAAATATCAAAATTAAGAAAACCCAGCTCATGTAAAATTGAAAAACCGCAACTGTGACAAAGCAATCGAATGGCGGAAAAGTGGTGAAAAATCAAAGCAGGTGGTATTAGAGTTGAGCAAGCTCTCACCTTTTGTCGTCGAATTTGAAAAGTTGGGGTTTCCAGAATTCTTGGCTTCGGAGTTGGGAAAAGTAGGTTCGGAGCGGTGATTGGTTTGGTTGGAGAAGATGGCGTACGCAGCACCGATGAAGTGATGTGGTTACGACGAACGCAAATGGCGAATTGTAAGGTCAAATAATGTAAACAAATCTCGCCCTTTCATTCCCTTAAAAACAAATCAACGGCTGCAAATAAGAGTGTACAAAAATGAGGTTTCACAATTCTGAAAATCAGTATTTTATGTACGTAAAAATAATAATTAATCTTTGTTATAGTTAATTAGTTAATTAATAGAAAAATAAATATTAGTTAATTAATAGAAAAATAAAGAAAGCTCTCATTAAAAAAAGAACATAGTAACAATTAAATAAAGTCGAGAAATAAGTTGTTATATAATCACAGTTCAAAGACTTTGTTATAGTTTTATTTTCATTTCGATTTAGTTTATCATAGTTATATTTTAATATTTTATTACACTAATTTAATTTTATGTTAATTAAATTATTTTTTATATTATTTTATTTCATAAATTAATCTTCCATTAAACTAAACAACTAATTTAAATAAAATTTAAGTTTTTAATTTTATAAAATAACTTCTATTGAGAAAAAGAAACTTGTTATCTAAAACTTTTACTTTGGTGTCTGTTCAAAAACGCTTTTACTTTAGTTTAATTAAAAAATAGTAGTAATGTATTATTATCCGGTGAAAAAATAAAAAGAAAATTGTCACCAAAAATTAAAATAAAAAAAAAAAAAATTGTCTTAGAGCATCTGGAGGTTGCTTATAAGCAATTTCCTATGTCACATCACTGCCATATCAGCTCTGACCCATTTTATGGGTTGCTTAAATTTTAGCAGAGTTGCTTGTAGTATCCGTGTTCTTCTCTCCATCCCAAAATTTCGGCGGGGGTCCGTCGCCATTTTCTTCCAACAAACACCACTTTACCTAACTCCCAACCCAAAAATTTGGTTTCGCTACCTCAGTTTCCCAATTTTAAGACACAAGGTACCAACGCTTTTTCCTTCCCTTATCTTCAATTTTCTTTGTCAGCTTATAAGCCTTTCTTTTTTCTTGCTCAATTTTCTGCAACACTTTCGGGACTCAATAAATATATAGGGAAATTTTTTTAATAATTTATTTGTTTTATGCTCGAAATTTCTGAAAGAGCTTTGAAACTGAGCAGATTTTTGTTTGGTGTGTTTATTTTCCGAAAATCGCATTTATTTTTTATGTTTGTTAAAAAACTGTTTCTAAACCCTTCCTTTTCCTGTCCGCTATAAATAGCCCTAATCATAGGAGCGGGAAAGCCACGATTCTGAAAATGCAGGTCTCGGGTGCCATCAGCGACGTTTTGGTGGTGCTTCCTCCTTCGGCATCTTTCAGACAACCAGAATTTCTGCCGTTTCTGACACCAAGGGTTTTCTTTCTGGTTGATTTCTTAAAGTAAGCTTTCTATCATTTTCGTTTTTACTTTCTTGTTAACCGCATCATCTTATTATACTATTAATTGTGGATAAACGTTTACCGTAAGGATAAGTAAGCTTAACCATATACAGGATGTTTGAATACAAGTTAAAAGTGTTTTTGAAAACTTCTTTTACTGAAAATAAAGAATATTTTCTAGTAAAGAAGCTCCCGGAAGCACTTCTAAGTTTGAATTCAAATAGACTCATAATCTTGAAAGGCATGCTGATGCCGGAAAAGATATTGGGGATGAGTTGGTAAGGAAAGAGCTATTTTATTTGAATGGCAAGTGGCAACTAATGGGTTTTGTTTAGATGGCAAGCGAATAATAAAGACTAGTTGGATTATACCACATGTATTATTTCTGTATTATTTGCGTGCAATGTTCAGTTTCAAGGTGCCATTTCCTTTTCTGAGCAGTTTTTGAGGTCAATAAATATTGTTTTGCTCCAGCGTTGGGAAATAATTTGATGTGTACAGATAAAATAATTTAATGTACATTTAATCATATTATTATTTTTAGTTATCATGATAAATTTTATAATTTTTTAGTTATCATATTATTATTTAATTATAAATTTTTTAATTTTTTTCCTGAATGCAGCATAGAAAAGTCGTATTCAGGACTGAGGTTCCTTCCTACCAAGTTCCAGCTATCATATTTGGGACAGTTTTGTAATAATAAATTGATAAATTCCGGTTGAATACTTGAATCATCCTTCTTGTTGTTGCCCTTACCGAGCAAGTTGCAATCTTGGCCAAAATGGTATCTGGGTTAATCAATGCAAACCCTGTCATATATGAAAAGAAAGAGCGACCTCGAACTTCTCCATTTGCTCCCCATGATGAGTATGCTGTGGAACCAATTGACCAACAAGAGATTTTTGATATCCTTTTTTAAATTTCAAATTTCATTTTTTTTTCCAGTAATTACTCAGAAAATAAAAAGAAAAGTTGATAATTGTAACTTCAATATTTTCTTAACATTCTCAAATCATATAAGAGATATAAAGGACCCTGAGCACCCATACTCCTTGGAAGAGCTTAAGGTGATCACAGAGGAAGCAGTTGAAGTTGATGATCAGCGTAATTATGTTAGGTATTTGTGATTATAATAATTATTACTGTTATTAATTTATTATTATTACTATTATTTTCATTTATTGAGTTTCTAGATTTTTTGATACACACTTTATGTGGATTATGGAATATTTAATTTCCTTGTTTTATTGGATGGTGACTGGGTTATTCTTCAGGGTTACATTTACTCCTACAGTGGAACATTGCAGTATGGCGACAATTATAGGTCTATGTTTACGTGTCAAACTCATGAGAAGCTTGCCTTCACGATACAAGGTATTCTCCATTTTTCTGAGTTTAGTAACTTGCTCTGATAAATGCTACGTGGAGTTGGAGAGGCAAAAATGTATTGATGGGTTATTTTCTTATATGATTAATAGAAGGGACTTCCTGTTGTGTGTGCCCAGGGGCACATAGTAAAAACTTCAAATTAGAAATTTCTTAACAATGAAAAAGCTATTTGTTTATATAAAATAAATACTAAACTCTTTTACTAGTTTTTTTAAGTAATTTAAAACAATTCATATGGTGTATTTAATGCTTTCATACTATGTGCCAATGGGCACACAGTTGAGTAGATAATTGCTTTAAGTTAAAGTACTGTTGAACTTATAGATTGTTAATACTAACTAGAGAGAGGGATTAAAACAGTAATGAATTGCTTAATTGCAATCATGATTTATGATATGATGCAAAAAATGTGGTAGTGAATGTGAATTGTGACTTTAATATTGAACAGCATGCAACAATTCTGAATCCCTTATTCTTGCTTGAATGATTTCTGGCTTCTTACAAAATAATCAATACTAAATATGTGGGACACCTATTGCAGTAGAGGCAGCACTCATTTTTTTCATTAGTATAAAATTGTTTTTGTTTCCCTTGTTCTTTAGAAGTCAATCGTAGATGGAAATGATGCAGGAGGATCAGAAATCCTTCTAAAGAAGAATCAAGAAAACTCTGTTCAGAGTATCACCTTTGCATACCAGATAAAGATATGTAGATTGTAGATTGTAGACCCTTATAAATAACCCATGAGCTGAAACTGGAAGCCACAAAGCATCTAATAAAACAAGCTTTAGAGAGTTCTTGTTAAAAATCCTGGAACCTAAGCTTGATCCGTGAAAGTGATTCATATAATATATTTAGGGTTTAGGCTTTGATTAGTCAGTAACAATGCTTTTGTTGACTCATTACTAGGCATAGTAATTGATCTGAGCCTGTGGGTACATGTCTGAATCTAACCCAATTTTTGATGAAAAAAATTACTTTAATTGGGTTAGGTTCTTCTCAATTTGTTAAGGCACGCAAGGGTTTGGGGTATAAATACCCAACTGCCTTCAGTCCCACATGTTGTGGGAAGTAGAGCTATGATTTTATTTCCACTCACATTTCTCATAATCATTGAAAATAGTAAAGTAATTTTGATCATTGTAATAATAGTTCAATAATAAAGTTGATATCACACATTTTGTTAAAGGTATGATTTAATTCTTACTTCTGAAGTTTCTTATTTTTATTAGATTCTTGACATCTTTTTTATATATATTTGAATTAAAATGTAAGTCATATATTTATTTTAAAAATATATAAGTGAGTTGAATTAAGAAATAAAATAGAATGGGACAGATTCTCCACATATTTCTCCAAACCCGATGGTAATGGGGTTAGATTTATTTTTCTCTCCAAACTCTCATGCCTATTCAGAACATCCTTTGTTATGCTCTCTTAAAATAAGTTGAACTGGTGCTACTTCACAAGATTTATAGAGGAGGACATGCTAGCTCCTGCCATTGGTATAGCTGTTCCACTCATGATATCTCTTACACCTGCAATACTATTTGGCATGTTAACCATAATCCACATTTTTTTTTTTCTTGTCTAACATTTTTGTATTGTTACCTAATTGTATGATAGTATATATTGTCAAACTATGGTGTTTATAAAGCATAATATGTACTTTTATGTTTCTGGGTATGTAGGGAATACTGAAATACTATTTATAGTATTTACTAATTAAACCAAATATTCTACCAATCTTTGAACCCTATGTTATTTATCTTTACTAATTAATTCTGGTTAGGTGGATATCAGAGTAGCACCTGGATCTCATGCAACTGAAGCTGCAGGTTTTAATTTCTTACTTTTTTCTCTTTCTCCCTGTTGTTATGTGTTACTTTACTGCACCGATGTCCTTGATTTGAATTCTCTGTGTACTGAAGCATTCTGCTGTCCTTCAAATATTGATCTAGGAATGTCCTACTACTTGAATGATTGCCATGGCATTTCTTTCTTAGATTAAAGCATGCTGTTGACCGACCTGTTACAAAACTCCTGACTTTGGTTTAGAATTTAGACTTTTTTGGGTGAAAGAATTAGATTTAGTATTTCATTTTATTTGATGATTGTTTGTTTTATACAAGTAGCTCTGCCCTTAAACCCAGCATTCCTGCTTTCCTGTGCTCCC